ACAGGATGACTCAGCTTGTGACTCAGAAGGGTTTTGACATCATTAGCCACACTTGTTATGACTGTTGTGTCTGTTTGTGAGGGCTAAGGATGAGCAGCTATTGGTATAACCTTTTTTTTTTTTTAAAGTTACGAGATGACGGCACTGTCAGAATCTCTCACTGTTAGATGATCACCCTTCATGTTTATGGCGCTCCTTTCAGTTTAAATATCAAGGCTTGGTTTGTCTAAAAACTGTAAGAAAAAAAAAACATCTTCTTAATTATTAATGAAATACTTCTTATTGTATTAAGCCATTTTGAATTTTCTTTGTGCAGGTTTTGCTTCCATTAAAATCAGGAAAAGTTAACTGCATATCATTTGTGGCACTCAAAGGAACACAGAATAAATAATAATTGTACACCAACACTTTCAACTGGATTACTTGTCCCTATGAAAGCAGTCGGCAGCATGAACCACTATCTGGAAATGAAATGGTTTCGTCCTTTTTTTCTAAAGGTACATATTTGTATCATGTATTATATCACAACAGAGCTGGCCAGCTAACCAATCAGAGCAGACTGGGCTCTGGTTTCAGACAGAGGGTGAAAAGAGGTGCTGCAGCACAGGCAGTATGAGAACAATAAAGAGCTTTTTAAACATTAGAGCATGGAGACATGTCCCAGTAGAAACACTACATACTGATATGAACCTCAAAATGGGGCCCTTTGAAGGTTTGTATTGCTGGGCAATCCCAATGTACAGGCCACTCTCCAGATTTGACCAGGGCTTACAGCAGACACAGTTGAAAACTCTGTAGACTTTGAGTTTATATAAAGCTACTAAAAATGTACTTTGATGCTAGTAGACAAAAAGTACTGATTGAGCTACAACGTCAAACGATCTATCTCCATGACTGTTAAACAAACACAATCCAATAGGGATGCTCCGATCGATCGGTCACCGATCGATATCGGCCGATACTCACTCTCTACCGATCGATCGGTGCTCTCTAAAGATGCCGATCGCGAGAGCCGATCGCATGACGTAAAATACATGACACTTTTCTCTGTGAGCGGCAAAACAAGCTCGCCAAAATGGCTTCACCGGTCTGGCATTATTTTAAGGTGTCCGAAAAAGACAGTAAAATAGCGGTATGCAACGTGTGTGAAGCAGAAATCCTGCAGCTCCGCCCGCCGGACAGGTAAGCGCAGCGAAACACACACACAGGGAGAACCAGACCGCAGTTCATTTCCTCATATTCCAAACGAGAAATTACGGTAGCAAATCACCCGGTTCTTTACGACCAGAACTATTAACGGGATACAAACCGGAGGAACCAGGCATGGAGGGAGGTGGCAGAGACAGTGGGTGAAACTGGTAAGTTTTCGCCTGTTTGGGGAGTTTATATATATATATATTGCTCGCATAAAATCCCCGGGTTTTTTTGCTTTGTATGTCGGGGGCGGGAGATTCATGTGATTGGTTGTTGGTCGCGTTGCTCGCAAAAAATCCCCAAGCTTTCAGACACGCCCAGCTCCAAGATTTTCAAGATTTTTGAAAAGCTGCTGTGTGGACGTACCAGAGTTAGACCTAACACACTTAGCTATTTTATCTAGGCTACCTCTGGAACAAGCTAAACTAGTTATTATAAATATATTTATTCTTCATTGTCGGGTCACTCATTACTGGATCAGTGAGCTGCATGAGATACTGACAGGCTGTCAGGAGAGGGAGAGAGGAAAAGAGAGCGCTTCCGCTAATTTCTCCCGTGTTATTATCCAAAGTGAATGTAAACTTGAATAATGTACATCATTTGAATGTAATAATTAAGTTGATTGTTGTTTGTGGAAGCTCCAGTGAATGAGCCCCATTAACTGAGTTTTAAACATCATTTTAAATGGAAGATTTAAAGTGATGTTTAAATCTTCCATTTAGGCCCCGCCCACTCGATCGGATCGGCGATCGCTATCGGCCGATACTGATTCCGGCGATCGGTGATCGGCGATCGGCCCCGAAATTGGCGATCGGAGCATCCCTACAATCCAATATGGACATCCATGAGATGCATGTCAATCCATCCACAATTTCAAGTCAAGACTGAACTTTGATGCTAAATATTTGGAGTCATTTTATAAACTAAACCTTTAATTGTTAGGCAAACCCTCCAAATAGGAAGTCCTGGTTTGGCGCTGTTATGATGGAAAGCAGTACTGTGCTTTCGGATACCATGGCAACAGACAAATACTAACTCAATTGTTATTACTCATAATTGTTGTCACGGGTGCAGCCCTGTTTTAATGGACTCTTTAATGCATAACAGCATTCATTAGAACATTTGACAAGACCAGTAAAGGCTCCTAGAGACCATCAAACTGAAACATTCAGAAATAATTTAAAATATCTACCTACCGTAGAGCATCTGATATCTTGAAAGCCTGTTCTTTTTTGTTAACTCTAAAGTGAGTTTAACATCGTTTAAGGGTACAATATCCCGCCAAACTCCAGTTACCCTTCCTCTAAAAACCCAGTTACATCCTCATCAGCCAGAGGAACTTCCTCTCTCAGTGTGACTTCAGTCCAGAGTCTGACACTATTTCACTTCCTCTCACGCCTGTTTCTGTCTCCATCTAGAACAGTGTTTCTCAAACTTTTTCATACCAAGGACCACTTAACCAATAAAAAAACACTCGCGGACCACCTAACTCCACAAATATCCAAAAACACATCGTTTTTTACAAATCGCCTGAAAATTGTACAAACAAGTGGCAACATGTGTGATGAAGGTGCTTATCTGGGCTATATCATGCAATCAAAAGTGAAACTTAAGCTCGTTCCATTGCGGAGATATTCCCGCGAGAGTGCGAAAAACTTAAATAAATTTGTGAAATTTTACCAATATACTCACGGACCACTAGGGGGCGCTCACGGACCACTAGGGGGCGCTCACGGACCACCAGTGGTCCGCGGACCACTAGGGGGCGCTCACGGACCACCAGTGGTCCGCGGACCACACTTTGAGAAGCACTGATCTAGAAGATAGATGGTGCCTTCAGGTGTTACCGAAACAACAACAGAAAGGCAGTGACAAGATCTTAAAATGCAAACTGTAACCCAAACACTCCGGTGAGGCAAATGCTGTATTGTGCAATGTTAACATAAGTAGTGTTGTTTATCCGCCCCTGAATCTGTTCTTCTTTGGTCTACTCTCCTTTCACATCAATTCATTAAAATATGTTTACGTTACGGCTGAAAAAATAACCAAAAAACATTGCAAAAACACATAAATCTCATTATCAAAATCTGAAAACACTTTATTGGTCAGTGTTTTAAAAACCCAAATAGATTCTTCAGTTTTCCATTATATTTTAGCCATTCTGTTTAATACAAACATGTATAGTGCAAGAGAAAAGCAATAATTAAACAAAATGGTGCGAGAGCTGCCAGTTAAATAACTGTTTTCAGTGCAGGAGAGTTTGAAGATACAATATTGATCGATTATTTGAATGTAATATATTTAAAAAAATCTAATAATAATAGTGTCAAAGTCTAAATCAGTACATTGCATGATATTTATCAATCTGACTTTTTGATTTAAATGTTACACTTCAACAACAATCCTTTTAAAGAGATGATTAAAAGGACAACAGATCCCAACCCATATTTGCATGTCTTATATTAACGGTTATTTTTTGTTTATCACAATCCGGTATATTGGTACAGTATCTGTGTACAACAGTGATTATAAAACTGAAATTAAAATTAAAATGAACAGTGAAAATGTCAATAAAAATGATATGCTTTTGGAAACTGAACTGAAACAATGCTAATTAAAAAATACTAATTTTTAGGGATGCACGATATTGTTTTTTTGAAACCGATACCGATAACTTCCTGCTTCTCAAAACCGATACCGATAACCGATAATAAAAAAATGTTTACGCCACTAATTATTTGAACGCGATTAACGCATGTGTATTTTTTTTCCTCGGCCGCCCCGTAGTTTCAGAGCGCATCGAGTTTAAAATACCATCTACAAGCTGATGCTGACAGCCCCGCTCCTGCCGCCTGCTTGTGGCAGACCACACTTCCACACTCACCGGCAGGCACCGACTGGCCATCTGGAGGACCGGGAGGGTGTGTGTATGTGTGGCCCGAGCGAGCGAGAGAGAGACCTTACGTGCATTGTTGTTGTTAGCATCTGGTGCTAGCTAGCTGCGCTAACGGATATACGGAGCTGTTTAAATGAAAACAGAGGAGCGACATTTCGCCACAACTGCGCCGAGCACTTGACTTTATGCAGGAAGCCAGACAGTGGGACATTGTACGAAAAGTCAGCACACTCAGCACGGATAGTGCGCAACATGATTGCAGCGTCCAGGCAGCTCCGGTTCGAGCATATGCCTTGAGTTGCACATAGCTCCAACGCCCATACCACCGACGACATGTTTGTTTACTGTCCTGGCTTCACGGCCGCACACCATTTACGTCACAGCCAGGCATGAGTTAGGGAGCGCTGGATTTGTGAAAAACTCCCCTCTTCCTAAACCACTAATACCACAGTACTGGCAAAACGGGAGGAGCCGAGTGAAAAACAAGCGCCCCTCATCCCAATCCACCCACACCGCAGTATTTTTTTCTTTTTTTTTACCCAAAAAATATATTGTATATTATCGGGGCTATTAATACTGGTATCGGGTTTATCGGGATGACGTCATAATTCCTAATATCGGACCGATAATTATCGTGCATCCCTACTAATTTTAGTAAATCATTTCATTTTCAAGGCTATAATGTATCACTACCAATAAAAGGAGACAGCATCAATACACGTCAGTCTCGTGATATTGAACCACGGAAACTGAACAAACCAGCAGATGGCGCTATGCTACAATAGCCTTACAATCAATCTCTATTGTGAAAGTAAACTCAGCGGTACAAATATGTCCCCATACAAATCCAGTTCTCATGTAGTGCAACTGCAGACTCCATAAGACAAATAACGGCTTTTAAGACACATAATAGTGTAAAAAAAATGTATGATAAGGTAGCATGGTCTTTCTACCTCATTTACAAAACTTCACTCCTTATCTTTTCTTTTTCCATAAAGATATAAACTTTCCCTTTAAACTGTTCCAGGCTTTCTTAGGTGATTTAGGACTTTTCTCTTCCTCCTTTTGCACCCTTTCTTTCGGGGCGTATCTTCTGGATTCAGGGCGTCTTGTATCCATTGAAGCTCCACCAAAGCAACCAGCAGCTCCCAGCTCCTCGTCCTGGTACCTTGAAGGAGAGTAACCTGCCTCATCTGCGTAAGGATATGACGTGTCGACGCCCCCCCTATCTCTGGCGTTCTTGTGACTGACCGGTGGCAGAGAGCTGCTCCTCCTATTCTCTATTGTGACCGACGTCCTCTCTGGATGTCGTGACTGCTCCCTCTGCCTCCGTAAGAGTATGTGCTTTAAATCGTGGCTCTCACGGGACGGTCCAATCAGGCGAAGTTTGACGTCCATGGGACATACGAGCACTGAGTTGTAAATGTTTCTGTCTTTCTTGATCTTCTCTAAAAGCACCCTGCCTTCTTGATCCATGTCCTTTAGAAGGACTTCCTGTGTGCGCAGTGATTGGTTGAGATCATCCAGGAGGCTCTGTAGTTTACCGACCGCTGTTCTCGCGCTCTTCCCATGTAGAGTGATGCTGGCGCTATCGCCTACTTTTACTACCACCATTCTGACATTATGGCATTCCACGATGCCATCAATGTCTCTTTTCCTGAGCCGATCTGCGTACCTAAACACATCTTCATCGACGATAAATGACTCACTTCGAGGACTGAATGAGCTGCGCTGATCTGGTTCTGGAGAAGGAGACGCTTTGTATTGTGAGCTTGGAAGTTTGTTTGGAGATGACGGAGGCGAGGAGGAGGAGGGTGAAGATGGAGAAGAGTACGGAGGCTTGTCTCGGCTTCTGTTAGCATTGGACACTGAGCTGTTTCGGGGGTAGTGTTTGGAAACGGCTCCAGAGGAAGCATAGGAGGCTTTTGGGACCGGAACGATGTCCGTCTTACTGTCTGATTTAACAATCTGCTCCAGAGAGGCCTTCACAGCTTTGAGTTTCAGAAACGACCCCTTCACACGCACCTGGTCTTGACTCAGATACGTCAAACTAAAGCCATGTGACTGGAGTAGTTCTATCACCTCCGCCTCATTGGGGAAAAGGTTCAAATGTACTGTTGCCTCCACTGGTAAATCCATCTGAGAGAGGGTGGGAAAAAAGGCAATTTTGAATCTGAGCTGACACAACATGGATAATGTGTAATCAATGTTCGGTTACCTGAGGATGTTCAGAGGATTTGACTGTTAGATGATATTGTTGCCAATTCACCTCCAATACATGGGAGCATTTAGGCAGGACTGGAGCAGCAACTGTGAAAAATAATTTTTTGAATTATTATTATCAGTTTAAAGAATGACTGACCTCAACCAGCATTCTAATATAGGAATGAAAATAAGCGTCCAGTGAATGTAGCCATTTTTTTATGTTGTGTATAATGTATTGAAAAACAAAAATGACCATAACACTACTATTATTATTGGAGCGTCAGCTTCAGCGTCAGACAGACGAAGACTGACAAAGACAATAGAGTCCTGCTGGAGTAAGACTGACAAAGACAATAGAGTCCTGCTGGAGTAAGACTGACAAAGACAATAGAGTCCTGCTGGAGTCACAAGGGTGGCAAAGAGGAGGCAAATCCTACTTTGATTGAACTAAGTATCGCTGGTGTTTTATTTTTTATTTGGTTGTTTAGCCCCTCATGCTATAATCATGTGTATTTTCTCCATTCCTGTTTATGTGTCTTCTCGCAATTATCACTGGCCCTGTATATCTCGTAATCGATATAACCGGCCTGCTCTCGTCTATCCCACATGCTCCACTGAGATCCAACATCTAGTTTCAGGCGGCCTGTGGAATTGCCAGTCAGCTGTTCCTAAGGCTGACTTCATCTCTGGCTACGCTTCCCTGCAGTCTCTGGATTTCCTTGCTCTCACTGAGACGTGGATTACTCCATCCAACACATCCACCCCAGCATCTCTCTCCACAGCATATTCCTTCTCCCATACACCCAGACCCACTGGCAGAGGAGGTGGCACTGGTCTCCTGCTTTCTCCCAAATGGAGCTTTTCCCTCTTCAAGCTACCTAACTTCACTCCTTCCACCTTTGAATTCCATGCCGTCACAGTAACCCATCCTATACAATTAACCATTGTTGTTCTCTACGGTCCACCAGGCACCTTGGGGGACTTCTTGGAGGAATTAGATCATCTCCTCTCACACATCCCTGAAACTGGCCCTCCCGCTGTACTTCTCTGAGACTTCAACCTCCAGACAGGGAAGATAGACGAACTAACATCTTTGTTAACCGCCTTTGCTTTCTCACTGTCTCCGTCCCCACCAACTCATAAAGCTGGCAATGTCCTTGATCTCATATTCTCAAGGAACTGCACTACTTCTAACCTCTCTGTAAACCCGCTCCACACATCCGATCACTTCTTCATTTCATTCTCTCTACCCCTTTCCAAACATAACAAACTAATCTCTTCTCATCCTGCACCTGTCCGCCGTAACCTTTGTTCCCTCTCCCCCTCTACCTTTGCCTCATCGGTGCTCTCAGCCCTCCCTTCCTCTGACTCGTTCCAACTCCTACCTCCAAACTCTGCTGCAGAAACTCTCCTCTCTACTCTCTCATCCTCTCTGGACTCTCTCTGTCCTCTCACATCTCGGCAGGCTCGTCAGTCCCCTCCTGCTCCCTGGCTTAGTGACGCACTGCGTGCTAATAGAACCGTCCTTCGGGCAGCAGAGCGGAAACGGTGGAAATCCAAACACCAAGACGACCTCCTAACCTATCAGGCTCTCCTCTCCTCTTTCTCTGCTTCGATCTCTCAGGCAAAAAGCACTTTCTTTCAAGATAAGATCCAATCTTCCTATTCCAATCCCAATAAACTATTTTCCATCTTCTCCTCCCTCCTGGACCCCCCCAAAGCCCCTTCCCCCTTGTGACGACACCTCCCCCCTTCTGCCTGGTGGTGCTCCCTGCCTTGCTGTCCTCTGGCAGGTACTGGGAGTGTTGTCCTGTTTGTGCCCGCCCATCTAGAGGCGGAGCCTCAAGAAGGTATAAAGGTTGCCCAGCTGCAAGGATCACTCTCTGATTCAGATCCTGGCATGCTGCAGCAACCTCAGCCTACAGCCTGTGTTAGGTTTGATGCACCCTCCAACATGCTACAACACCCTTCCACACACCCACACACTGCTCACACTACTGACAGTCTGATTCGTACATACACTATTCATCAGAGGTGTTTTTCTATAACATGTTAAATAAACAGATATTTGGCATTTAACTCTGTGTGGCCTCCCTATTTGTTCCAGCCTTGTGGCAGGTTGTAACAAGTGGGGGATCGTCCGGGATCATTTCCGGTGCTGGATAAAGGACATGGTGACCTATTTCAGTCAGGGAGTGTTCACACAGCTTGTTGGTTGACTCTGAGTTTTGTAGGGGAAAATAGGTCAGGTTGATCTTACTCTATGTCTAAGTAACTGGTCTTACTCACAGTTGTGTTTCTGTCCAAGGCAAGCTATGTTTTCCGGTATTGCTGTTTTGTGTTACCTTTCTCTCTTAAGACAGACACCGGTTCCAGTGTTGAGGTCCGGGGGATGGGATTAACCGTCTTCTCTGCTCCACAGCATAAACTGACATTAGTCTCCAGTCTGCTGCAAGGGGAAGTGGTCATGGGCGTGCGTCCTTCTCTGCCTATGGGGGGCATACAGATCATCTTGTTACAACCTGCCACAAGGCTGGAACAAATAGGGAGGCCACACAGAGTTATATGCCAAATATCTGTTTATTTAACAGGTTATAGAAAAACACCTCTGATGAATAGTGTATGTACGAATCAGACTGTTAGTAGTGTGAGCAGTGTGTGGGTGTGTGGAAGGGTGTTGTAGCATGTTGGAGGGTGCATCAAACCTAACACAGGCTGTAGGCTGAGGTTGCTGCAGCATGCCAGGATCTGAATCAGAGAGTGATCCTTGCAGCTGGGCAACCTTTATACCTTCTTGAGGCTCCGCCTCTAGATGGGCGGGCACAAACAGGACAACACTCCCAGTACCTGCCAGAGGACAGCAAGGCAGGGAGCACCACCAGGCAGAAGGGGGGAGGGGTCGTCACACCCTCCTCCCTTCTGTCAAGCGACTTTGTTAACCACTTTGAAAAAAAGGTTGATGATATTCGCTCTTCTTTTTCTGACTCACCTTTACTCACCGCTGGGTCACCAGACCCTCCTTCCACCAACACACTAACCTCCTTTTCCCCTCTCTCTCCAAGTGAGGTTATTACCCTCATTACCTCTGCCCGCCCTACCACCTGTCCTCTGGACCCTATCCCTTCAAACCTCCTTCAGACTATCGCTCCTGATATTCTACCGTTTCTCTCCCATTTCATCAACACTTCTCTAACTTCTGGTCACTTTCCAAACAGTCTCAAGGAGGCAAGAGTAAACCCTCTCCTAAAGAAACCCACTCTCAACCCGTCTGATGTTATAAACTACAGGCCTGTCTCTCTACTCCCGTTCCTGTCTAAAACACTTGAACGCGCTGTCTTTAAACAACTCTCCTGTTATCTCCATCAGAACAACCTTCTGGATCCGCACCAGTCTGGTTTCAAGGCAGGTCACTCCACAGAAACTGCCCTCCTTGCTGAGGAACTGCACACTGCTAAAGCAGCCTCCCTCTCCTCTGTCATCATCCTTTTGGACCTGTCTGCTGCATTCGACACGGTGAATCATCAGATCCTCCTTCGCACTCTCCAAGAACTTGGAGTTTCAGGCTCTGCACTTTCCCTCATCACCTCATACCTCAAAGACCGCACCTACAGGGTTACTTGGAGAGGGTCGGAGTCCGACCCTTGTCAATTAACTACAGGGGTCCCTCAGGGCTCTGTTCTTGGTCCCCTCCTCTTCTCCTTGTACACAAACTCGCTCGGATCTGTCATTAGCCTGCATGGTTTTTCATACCACTGCTACGCTGACGACACCCAATTAATTCTGTCCTTTCCCCGCTCAGAGACCCAGGTCGTCGCACGCATCTCTGCTTGTCTAGCTGACATCTCTCAGTGGATGTCTGCTCATCACCTCAAGCTCAACCTTGACAAGACTGAACTGCTTTTCCTTCCGGGAAAAGATTGTCCCACTCTTGACCTGACAATCAACATCGGCACCTCTATTGTTTCCCCGACTCAGACTGCAAGGAATCTGGGTGTGATCCTAGATAACAACCTGTCCTTCACTGCAAACATAGCTGCTACAACCCACTGCTGCAGATACACGCTTTACAACATCAGGAGGATACGTCCCCAGCTCACCCAGAAAGCGACGCAGGTTCTGGTCCAGGCTCTCGTCATCTCACGCCTAGACTACTGCAACTCCCTCCTGGCTGGTCTACCTGCATGTGCCATCCGACCTCTGCAGCTCATCAAGAATGCAGCGGCTCGTCTGGTCTTCAACCTTCCTAAATTCTCCCACACCACGCTGCTCCTCCGCTCCCTCCACTGGCTTCCGGTAACTGCTAGAATCCACTTCAAGACAATGGTACTTGCGTACCATGCTGCGAATGGATCTGGCCCTTCCTACATCCAGGACATGGTTAAACCGTACACCCCAGCACGTGCACTCCGTTCTGCATCAACCAAACGGCTCGCTGCACCCTCGCTGCGACGGGGACCCAAGTTCCCATCAGCAAAAACCCGTGGGTTTGCTATCCTGGCTCCAAAATGGTGGAATGAGCTCCCCATTGACATCAGGACAGCAGAAAGCTTACACACCTTCCGGCGCAGACTGAAAACTCATCTCTTTCGACTCCACTTCGAGCAATAGAACTATTAACAAAGCACTTATATACTAATAAAGGACTGGCTTAAAGCCAGTTGAGTAGCACTTACAATGTTTTTGCTCTATGAAACCTGATGTACTTATATGATTCTGTTTTCTTCAAGTTTGTATTTTGTTGGTCGAACGCACTTATTGTAAGTCGCTTTGGATAAAAGCGTCAGCTAAATGCAATGTAATGTAATGCAATATGAACTTAAGAATACAGTATATATGTCAAGAGCCTGACAGGTAGAACTAAGTATTCCATAGGAATTATAATTATATAATTAAAAAATGCACTGAACTGATACTGAAATACAGTAGCAAATCGTGTCTATCACAACTGGACCATCTGTAGACACACACCCCCTGCAAAACTGTCAATCCAAACGTATGCTCTCATTCAGTGTAACGGCCAGGGCATTCTATCAAGGATATGGAATACCTTGGTTGAAAGATATTCTACCCATAGACCGAGAACAAGATCTGATTGGTTGTTTTTTCTTTCTAACACAAAACCACTCAGATGCGTAGTGCATGGACCGAGAAAGACAAGACAAACAAATCAACGTAACACTAATATTACAGATCAACAACACAGATACGATTCTCATTTATTCATTTTATTTACATAATTAAATCGATTTTTTGTTTGTTTTATCTGAGTGTTCCAGGGTATTCTCTGAATACCTTGAAGGCCCTGACGGTTCGCCACTGCTGAAATATGACACTGGAAATAACTTAGGGCCACATGTAACATGTTCCACCATGAACTTATTATTGCAGCTCCTAAAGATGGCCAGCAGATGGCGATAAAAGCCACAAAGTGGTTAATAAGAATGAAAAGAAGAAATGATGGCTTTAGTTTAGGTTTATAAAGGCAGAAAAGCATCAACCACAACATACAAGTAAAAGCGTAATAAATTATACTCTAGTTGTCACTATTTCCTTATTGATATTCTTTTTTTGTCCAACTGGAAAAAGTGAAATAAATGATTCCTCTGGATAATAGATATACATTTTATTCAACCCTGGATGTTTCTTTTTTGGTAATTTATGTTATTGTTTAAAGTGTAATGTCTATAATACTTTTCATAATTGTTTTCAAAATGTATTCTGTAGAAAGCAGGATCATTAGTTGAGTATGTAGACGGCAATACTCAATCGTGCTTCCCCTTTTCTCCATCTGCACACTATGATAGCTAAAATAAACGTTTTTCAGTCTTAATAATTTGTCTAACTTAAGGGTAAATACTAATATTTCATCAAGGCAACATGAGATTTAAAGTCCGTTTCATCGAAAGTGAAAGTAATTCCGTTTCAGGTAAATTGGGTTTCTTGGACTCCTGCAACTTTACGAAATTTGACTTAATTCAGATTGAAAACCGAGTCAAGCCGCATGTCAGTAGGCTACAGATAAAATGCACGATCTTTATCAAGCAATAACTTGTGTATATTGAACCGTAGTAACATCCCCCAAACTGTGTTTCACTTCACTCCAGTAAAGGCAAACGCACAGCAAAGCAGGCTAAATAAATGGCTTAACACTAAAAAGGGCTTTGATAGATCTATCACTTACTTTAAAACTCACTCCTGTTATCTCCATGACATGACACCAGTGCGATGAAATCGAAAGCAATGTCGTCACTTCCGGTCCAGATTTACAGTTCATGATTTTGACAGTAAAATACATTTCCTTTTCGACTTTTTTTCTACGCAAGTTAAGTAAATACAAGTTTATGGATATTTCTATTGTAAAGTAAATACAATAGTTACTGTCAAATTATCTGTCTCAATCTAAAAATATCAGTAACTATTATTAAGCAAATACCTTTAAAGGCAAGAGCATTCAATGCATTCAATCTGCAGCAGAAGTCATTTGTTACCAGAGTGAAAACTAAATGTTTTTTATTTTCAATAATAATAATTTCACACGGTGGAATATTAACACCGCATGGATATTGACAGCGTTACAGAGTATACCTAACACGTTATGTAAAGCCATTTTGGGCAGAGAACTAACAGGATATTAACTTCAGGCTTTGATTGATTGATTGATTGAAAAGTTTATTAACAGCTTGTATATTGGGTACAGTACAGTACAGCTCAAAACATACAATTGTTAAGGGGATGCAGACCAGAGAAAGACTTTCGTCTTGTTTACATCAGGGTCCCCCATTTCCAATTCATCATATCATTTAAGACATATAAGACATATTTGACATACAGATGGCTTATTTACAATTTACATACAGGTGGTTTTTTACATACAGATTGCTTATTTACAATTTTCATTTTAGATTTCGTTCTAATACATCCTAACCGGACATTTAAGACATACCAAGTCTACAGATATACAGTTAGTAACAGAGTCTAAAATGCGAGTATATACATAGATGGGGGGGGGGAATCTGTCCATTGTACGACAGGTTGAGATTTGTACCATTACCGGGGCCAGTTTTGCAATGCTCTCCCCCGAAGGTGCTCTTTAAGAGAGGTTTTGAAGGTAAGTATAGTTTTACTTTCCTTTACAGTTGTGGGAAGAGCGTTCCACCTTGATGTGGCATAATTGCGAAACGTGTATTCCCCCTTTTTTGTGCCAAATCTGGGTTTCACATGATTTGTGGAGCTCCCTCTGGTGTTATGATCATGGTATTCCTTGACCTTTGGGAAGAATTTTGACATGTACATGGGTACCATAGAGGTGTAGTGGATCTTGTAGACCAGGCCCATTGCAAGTAGCTGTACTCTGTCGTCTACTCTAAGCCATCCTAGGTTGTCAAAGTGGGCAGAGGTGAGGTGGGTTCTAGATGAAAGGTCAAGCAGTAGTCTGACCAGTTTATTTTGCGATGTTTGAAGTTTTATTTTTAGCGCCTTGGAGGTGCTATGGTACCATGACGTGCAAGCATAGTCATAGTACCCTTGAATGAGTGCTCCTGCCAGAGTTTTCAGGGTGTTTTTGTTTACCAGAGAGGAGATCCGGTATAGGAATCTAGTTCTTTGATTGACTTTTTTTATTACATTGGATGCCATTTTGTCACAGGAGAGGTTTGCCTCAAGAATAGATCCTAGGTATGTAATTTCCTTCTTACTTGTGACAATAATGTCGCCCACTGCAACTGAGAAGTCGTCGGATTTGCTGAGATTATGTTTCGAACCGAAGAGAATGGACTCTGTTTTACCCAGGTGTAATGATAATTTATTATCGGCGAGCCAGGTGCAGATTCTGCCGAGCTCGGAGCTGAGGGTTTTTTCAACCTGCAACCTGTTCCTGTCAGAGACCAGCAGGGCTGAGTCGTCCGCGAACAGGAACAAGTTGCAGTCACATGCTGACGACATGTCATTTACATAAATTAGGAACAGTAACGGACCTAATATGCTTCCTTGTGGAACACCACAGCTCACTGGGAGGGGGGGGGACAGAGTACCGTTTACCTCCACCATCTGTTCTCTCCCCTCCAGGTAGGATTGCATCCAGCTCACCGATAGTTTATCAAAACCAATTGCTTTTAGCTTGTCAATCAGAATGGGGTGATTGACAGTGTCGAAAGCCTTTTGTAGGTCCAGCATCACCATGCCGCAGTACTTGCCCTCGTCCACCTCTTGTTTGATGTGGTCGCTCAAATAAAGAAGGCATGTGTCAGTGGAGTGGGATGTTCTAAAGCCAGATTGAAATGCATAGATTAGTTTCTTTTCCGCGAGGTACTTTTCGACCTGTTCATATACTATTTTTTCCATGACTTTCGAGATGGAGGTAAGTATAGAAACAGGGCGGTAGTTGCCTGGGTCCAATTTGCTGCCCTTTTTGTGCAGGGGGGTTACTCTTGCAATTTTGAAGTCTTTGGGTACTTTTCCCTGTTTTATGGAGAGGTTAATTATGTGAGCTATGACTGGTGAGATGGCGGTTGCTGTGTCTCTGAGGAATTTGGAGGGGATATTGTTGTGGCCAGTGGCCTTGTTAGGTTGGAGGGCGCTCAGTTTAATGAGTACCTCTGCTGTTGTTACCCTTGCTAGACTGAAATCATCTTTGCGTACCCCTAGGTTTTTGTAGTAGGTCATGATGTGATCTACTCCAAAAAGCCCTGAGTGGGAGGGTAATTTATTTACAAGAGTTGTGGCTATGTTTGTGAAAAAAATTTCAAGTACTTGGCCACAACCAGTTTGTCTGTGATGAGCCTGTTATCTGTCTTTATGTTTAAGTTAGAAAATCTCGTTTTGAGTTTTTTACTGCAGCCAAGCTGGTTATTGAGTAATTTCCAAAGTTCACGGGGTTTATTTTTGTTTTCCTCAGTTTTGACATTGATGAAATTCTTTTTGGCAGTTTTGATCATGGAGCTTACGTCATTTCTTAGTCTGTTTCTTTCAATTTTGAGTTCAGTCACGTGGGCCTGGAGTTCACTGCTCGTGCTTTTGGAAAGCATTGACTGACTTTTATGAAACTCAGAGCATTTTTTGTCTCTGGTTTTCATGGCGGTCAGTATGCCAGAGTGCATCCACGGCTCAGCGCGATTTTTTACCCTGGTTGTTCTTAGGGGGGCCAAATCATTGAGTATTGCAGAGAATTTGTTTTTGAAACCAAGCCATGTTTCTTCAACTTGTGTACCACTGAGCTCATCTGACCAGTCCAGGCTCTCCAGTTCTAGGTTAAAGGCCTCGCTAGAGTAGTTTTTGAGGTCTCTAGATATGACTGTTTTGTGACAGCCGGCCCTTTGTTTTAGCTTTTTGCGGGTACAGAATATCATATAATGATCACTTAACCCGCATGCTATAACCCCTTTACTGGAGATCCTGGACTTGTCAGAGGTCAGAATGAGATCAATGGTAGTTTGTGTTGTTTCACATACCCGGGTGGGTTGGGTGATTAGCAGGCTGAAGCCGTGCAGATCACAAATCCTACTGAAGGACTTGAAGACGGACGTGTCTTTACGTTGCATATCCGTGTTCCAGTCTCCAATAATAATCATTTCAAAGATCAAATGTAATGCCATTATGTGTGGGGTATTCACAAGTAGAAATATTTAGAAAGTAGTTATTTTCCAGTATTTTAAAACCAGTTTTACAAATCAAAAGCATTTTCACTTTTTACAGTTTCAGGATTTCTCCAACTGACAAACACAGGTCATTAGTTTAGAAAGTTTATTTCAACAGTGTGGAAAACAAGAAAACCATTAAAGAAATATTCTGCAGATGTACAAATGTGACCATTTATTTTCTTCTGCAGATTTGAAGTTTCTCCAACCCTCAGGGAAATCTGCAGGAAAATACATTTCAATTAATTATTTTGTATGCAAGAACATTGAAAGCTGTCATCACACTGATTTGAATAAATAACCATATGGTAATGGAGGCCCTACATTTTCATAAAATGGCATTGTGATACACTTTGTGCAATTAGCTAAATTGGTATTGTCTAAAAGAATCGAAAATGTAATATTGTGATGAAACATGCCATTTAAATTCTTAATGTATATAGTAGTCATGCTGCTGTTCTCTGCTACGAAAAGGAGAAACATTGTTCATGTTATAGCCTTGTTACATTCATCTTTTAATATAAAGCAAAAATGTATACCCTCAATGTTGTGTACATTTCTTCTTCTGGTGTAGAAAAAAATATTTATTTAAGGCATTTTATCAAGGTTTGAATTCCAGTGTCGTCTAGCTCAGGTCTTTGACATGAGACTTATTCACTGCAGGCCTCAGAATCGTTTAAAGGCCAATTAAGAACACTTGGATCAGTACACAAAGCATGTGGTCCATCTCTAAACCTGAGGTGACATGTTGGAGGTTTACCTATAACCCTGCTGTAAGGAGTCACAGCAGGGCCTCAAACGGCCTCTCATCTCTCTAGCAGACACTATAGGAAAGATCAGAGCCACTGCAGGCTGAGCCTCGCTGGAAGGTCTGCACGCGAGCAACGTTTAAAGATAGGGACTGGGCTACGGTCACGTGTTGGCTTTACTTTGAAAACACTGACCTTAGTGTTCAGCTCATGCTGGAGCAGCAGAGGTCAGTCAGGAGGTCTGAGCAGGGCAGAGCCTGGCTTCATCTCTAGTTCTGTAAAAGAAAGTCATATTATAAGTACTGTATTTTTTATACAACATTTCCCTATAAGGTTACATCAAGCTTTATGTGCACTTACAGTCTTTGCCTACGTGAGCAAGTTCAAGCAGAACATGATAATCAAAAATGGTTCATTGGTCCCACCATGGGGAAACATACAGCCTACCAGAGGCAAAGGGACAGTGCAGATGAAGGCAAACATAAGTAAGTAACCTATTAAATGAATAGGCAAGCAGACATGCAATAAGAAATGATCCATGAACTAAAAAACAAGTAGCAGCATGTATTTATCTGCACGTCACAATAAAGAATTTCTCGGCATAGTTTTATTTATTTTTGCCTTGCTAATTAAGGCGAGACACGGCAGGCAAAAACATCGTTTTTCAAGTACAGGTCAATTTTGAGATTTTGTGCTATTTTGATTCCATAACATGTTTTCTTTCAGGCTTTTGGAAGGAAAACGTACAAAATACACATTTAAGTGTTTATTTTACTATAGTTTGTCTATTTGCGTCTGTAGATTTCTCCTAAATTCACCAAAAGTTAGCATTCTAACGTAACAAAGTACCGCGACCGCTGTGTGCACCATGTCAACAGAGGTATCGCTGGAAAGCTGTGTCTCTCCTGCACAATCTCATCAGATCCAAATATGGTCATTTCCTTTGTATCAGCAACCAATCGTGAAAGCACAAAGGGGTCTTAAACCAAGAAACGAAATCTCATTGGCTGGTGTCAACTTCTGACAACGTGATTCGTTCAGATGCGTCACGTGGTGTGCTAAAACACTTCCTGGTTAGCTTTCAGCTAGAAATTGAAATCTCAAAATGCAAAAAGAACGGCGAAAAAAACGTTCACAGAGAAGACGACAACAATTGTCACTTGCACGAAGCAAGGTTATAAAAAAAAAATGACCCTGAACATGAAATACCTTCACGGAGTGCGTCGATGCGCAAGCTGTCATCCAAAGAACTGAAGGGTTTAGCTAGCGCCTCACTGCAATCTTTAAAGGTCGTTTTCTCAAAATGAGTTTTTTCTCCTACTCTGAGTTCGAAATTTCAACTTCAGTAGCACGTACATACACCAAACCTTCCAGTTATATTCCTATCAATATTATGAAGGCTTTTACAGAAGGGTTTGTTCATATATCCTTCATAGCCTGAATTATACAACATTGTATACCTAAAAACATGGCGAAAATGGATATTTTAGGGCTGTCGACAGTATTTTCTGATTTATGGAGTGATAAAAAGAGATATCCAAAATCCCTTCTGTAAAAGCCTTAGATACTAATATGACTACAAAATGAAACAAGAATTTTGAATCTGGCTATATCCAAAGTTCAGATTTCAATTTCTGAAATGTGTTAAAATATGTGCATATTTAATGAGATAATGGATAATTTGCATATTTAAACATGCTATTTCAGAAACTTGTAATACAAAAGACAATTGCCTTATTGTAAGTAATTATCTGGAGAGATTTCTAGCTGATACCTTTAAGTTAAAAAAAAATACCCTATTCACCTGGGGTGTCTCGCCTTAATAAGTTGTAAATATAACCAATGAGCAGTGAATATTTTGCCTGCATCATCATCCCTTCATGGCACATGGTCCACTATTGGTTCAAGGTGTTCCCCTTTATGATGTGCATTCATAAGAGAACATTACACAGATTTAGGCTAGGTTTAAACTAATAATAATATCTACTTTAAACGATAAGTGGCAGTGTAGTTTGTTGGAGGTTTACCTATAACCCTGCTGTAAGGAGTCACAGCAGGGCCTCAAACGGCCTCTCATCTCTCTAGCAGACACTATAGGAAAGATCAGAGCCACTGCAGGCTGAGCCTCGCTGGAAGGTCTGCACGCGAGCAACGTTTAAAGATAGGGACTGGGCTACGGTCATGTGTTGGCTTTACTTTGAAAACACTGACCTTAGTGTTCAGCTCATGCTGGAGCAGCAGAGGTCAGTCAGGAGGTCTGAGCAGGGCAGAGCCTGGCTTCATCTCTAGTTCTGTAAAAGAAACACCACAACAACATTTAACTACAGTACTGTGTATTTATGTTTAATATATAAACAAAACAGGTAATACAACTCGAATGAAGGGATGACAACAGCTAATGTAAGGTAGTTGTAAACAGATCATACTAGGGCTGCACGGTATTGAAAAAAACTGACATCGCGATTTTTTCCCCCCCTGCGGTATATATTGAGATTTTTTTTAACCTGTTAAGCCCCAAAGTCCCGGCGGGTACTTTACTTTTTTTCACGACACTGTGTCTCAGGGGATCGTAATATTTAAGAACCTATTAATGTGTTATACCAGATTAACGGAAATAATCTCAGCTAACTGACGATACAAACCATTTTATACCAAAACAAAACACAAGTCTCATAAGAAGCATCTAAATGACCCCTGAGCGAAAAAATGCTAACGCACTTTGGCACAGAACTCAAGATAAAAGTACCCTTATTATTACTTATCATAGCTGCACTTACAAGATATTCGATTAAAGCTGAGGTTCCACAGATTATTTAGGTATATAGTATCATCACTGAGTGATCTGAACTCGGACAGGGGAAGCAAACACAGACATCACAACACGTACCTTTACGTAGCTTCTAGGGGAGATGTCTCACCGTAGCTGTCAATCTGATCAAAAGATGTGTTCAATGGCATTAAAACGAGAAAGAAAAAACGCGGCTGAATCGGTTAATCCATAGGTTTTTAACGTCTGTATAAAAAAATGATTTAATTTATAATCCATAATTCCATTTTTATGTAAATATCGCAGAGCAAAAGTTAGCTGCTAATGGTAGCCACCAGAGTGGCTGCTGCTTCCGGTCTTGGCAATCCGGAAGTCTCACACACACACACACACATTACCAAATAAGAACTGTGTGATTTCCCCTCGATTCCATTGGCTCCGACGGTCAGAAAGAGATGTCACATGTCAAAATCCAGCAAGGTGGGCCAGAGATATGGAAAATCCACCCAAATGGCCCCAAAAGAGGGTTTTTTTGTGCTAAATCTGTCTAAAAAGGTCAAATATCAGGGGAAGTTCTACACACACCAACACATGAACAAATAAGGAGTGAGAGTGACGACGCGTAGCCAAAACCGGAAGCTGCATACCACCAAGGTGGCTACCATTAGCAGCTAACTTTTGTGCTCCGATTTTTACATAAAAATGGAATTATGGATTATAAACAATTGCTTCAAAGCCACAGATACATTATCAACCTATGGATCAACCGTTTCAGCCGCGTTTTTTCTTTCTCGTTTTAATGCCATTGAACACGTCTTTTGATCAGATTGACAGCTACGGTGAGACGATCTCCCGTAAAAGGTACGTGTTGTGATGTCTGTGTTTGCTTCCCCTGTCGCGAGATCAGATCGCTTAGATACTATACTTAAATAATCTGTGGAGTCTCAGCTTTAATCGGATATATTGTATGTGCAGTTTCGATAAGTAATAAGGGTATCTTTATTTTGAATTCTGTGCTAAAGTGCGTCAGCATTTTTTTTTAAATGAATAAAACCGCACGTCCCTGCGGTGTGAATACCGCGCATGCCGCGGTTATCGCCATGACACGGTATATAGTTCAGCCCTAGATCATACACACATCTGTAGATTGATTTGACAGAATAAAGCAGTATTTGCTGGTTGTCAAAAGGGCTGTAAAAATTGAATGTTTTTGTTATCAATTCATCTGCTGATTAATTTCTCGAAGGATAAATTGTTTGATCTATACAAATTCAGAAAATAGTCAAATGTCTCTCCTAATTTTTCCAAGTCCCAGTTGGTGTCCTTAAATGGCTTTTGTCAGTCTAAATGAAGAGGAAGTCACTTAACCTGTTAACCGCTAGAGCCAATAGAATCGAGGGGAAGTTCCACATACACGTTACCAAATAAGGAGTGAGAGTGACGAGTAGCCATAATACCCACAACAGGAAGCCGTCATACACTCTGGAAGCTACCATTAGCAGCTAATATGAAAATTCAATTTTTGACATAGAAATTGAATTATGGATTATCAATAATTTTTTCAAAGTGACAGACACATTGGATTAACCTTCAGCCGCGTTTTAATGCCATTGAACACAACGTATGATCAGAATAACAGCAAAAGGTGACTATATCTCCGTTTTTGCTACCTAAAGCTACGTCGTGTGTTGTCTGGGTTTGCTTCCCCTGTCGCGAGTTTTGATCGTTCAGTGACGATACTTATATGTATCGTATCTGTGGAATCTCAGCTTGCTAGCAAAGCTTGTTTGTGCAGATCCGATAAGTATATCAATCGATTTATACCTAGAACCTGCGGTCCTCAGACTCTGGCCTGCTTCCCACCCCCGCACCAAACTGCGAACCTTTGGGGACAGAGCCTTCAGTGTGGCAGCCCCCACCCTCTGGAACACTCTCCCTGTGGAGATTCGCAAAAACCCCACACTCAACGCCTTCAAAAAGGGCCCTCAAGTCCCATCTGTTTGCCAAGGCTTTCGGCCCCCTAATCTAACTGTTGTTTTGTCTGTCTGACTTTTGTTTTGTTATGTTTTTGCCCTATTACTTGTAAAGCGACCCCGGGTCCCTTGAAAGGCGCTATATAAATCCAAGCTATTATTATTAGAGTTCTGTGCCAAGTGAGTTAGCATTTTTTCACTCAGGACTCACTTAGACGCTTCTTGTGAGACTTGTGTTTTGTTTCGGTAAAAATTGTTTATATGGTCAGTTAGCTGAGTTTCTTCCCGTTAAGTGAGTATGACACATTCATAGTTTATTACATTTTAAGAAGCCCTGAGACACAGTTTTGTGAAAAAAAGCCCGTTAAGCAGCCTTCTGCTTGAAAAATTACTTTAATGATTAATTGAATATCCCAATAGTGAGCGATCATTTTTCCTTTTAAACGATTATTATTAAAGGTGGGGTAGGTAAGTTTGAGAAACCGACTCGAGATACACTTTTTGATATATTCCATGGAATGCTCTTAACATCCCGATAGCAATGAATATCTTAAGTGCTTTGACAAAATCCATTAAAAAAAAAGGAAGTCTGAAGAAAGGGGCGGATTATTTTCGGCTGTGTACTTTCAAATTTTAGTGCACTCGAGCCGGTTTCTGAAACTTACCTACCCCACCTTTAAGCCATGGTTTTTACTTAACAGATGTGTCAAACGTAGGGGGGGGAAGCAAATTCAACATCATGATGTCCGACTTTAAAATGACGCACTATGTGTATTATTCATAAACCGATAAGCAGTGAAATGTACCGATATAATATTTAGCCTGGACCCTAATCCCTTCATGGCACACGGTCTACCATTTGTAGAAATAGTGTTCCTTTATGGTTCACCAACATTAGAAAACAATATACAGAATATGGGCAGGATGAAACTCCTTAGTAACAATAACTCACTTTTAAGAACAAATCCCTCTGTAGTTTGTTGGAGGTTTACCTATAACCCTGCTGTAAGGAGTCACAGCAGGGCCTCAAACGGCCTCTCATCTCTCTAGCAGACACTATAGGAAAGATCAGAGCCACTGCAGGCTGAGCCTCGCTGGAAGGTCTGCACGCGAGCAACGTTTAAAGATAGGGACTGGGCTACGGTCACGTGTTGGCTTTACTTTGAAAACACTGACCTTAGTGTTCAGCTCATGCTGGAGCAGCAGAGGTCAGTCAGGAGGTCTGAGCAGGGCAGAGCCTGGCTTCATCTCTAGTTCTGTAAAAGAAAGTAATATTATAAGTACTGTATTTTTTATACAACATTTCCCTATAAGGTTACATCAAGCTTTATGTGCACTTAGTCTTTGCCTACGTGAGCAAGTTCAAGCAGAACATGATAATCAAAAATGGTTCATTGGTCCCACCATGGGGAAACATACAGCCTACCAGAGGCAAAGGGACAGTGCAGATGAAGACAAACATAAGTAAGTAACCTATTAAATGAATAGGCAAGCAGACATGCAATAAGAAATGATGCATGAACTAAAAAACAAGTAGCAGCATGTATTTATCTGCACGTCACAATAAAGAATTTCTCGGCAGTTTTATTTATTTTTGCCTTGCTAATTAAGGCGAGACACGGCAGGCAAAAACATCGTTTTTCAAGTACAGGTCAATTTTGAGATTTTGTGCTATTTTGATTCCATAACATGTTTTCTTTCAGGCTTTTGGAAGGAAAACGTACAAAATACACATTTAAGTGTTTATTTTACTATAGTTTGTCTATTTGCGTCTGTAGATTTCTCCTAAATTCACCAAAAGTTAGCATTCTAACGTAACATAAAGTACCGCGACCGCTGTGTGCACCATGTCAACAGAGGTATCGCTGGAAAGCTGTGTCTCTCCTGCACAATCTCATCGGATCCAAATATGGTCATTTCCTTTGTATCAGCAACCAATCGTGAAAGCACAAAGGGGTCTTAAACCAAGAAACAAAATCTCATTGGCTGGTGTCAATTTCTGACAACGTGATTCGTTCAGATGCGTCACGTGGTGTGCTAAAACACTTCCTGGTTAGCTTTCAGCTAGAAATTGAAATCTCAAAATGCAAAAAGAACGGCGAAAAAAACGTTCACAGAGAAGACGATAACAATTGTCACTTGCACGAAGCAAGGTTATAAAAAAAAAAATGACCCTGAACAAGAAATACCTTCACGGAGTGCGTCGATGCGCAAGCTGTCATCCAAAGAACAGGAGGGTTTAGCGAGCGCCTCACTGCAATCTTTAAAGGTCGTTTTCTCAAAATGAGTTTTTTTCTCCTACTCTGAGTTCGAAATTTCAACTTCAGTAGCACGTACATACACCAAACCTTCCAGTTATATTCCTATCAATATTATGAAGGCTTTTACAGAAGGGTTTGTTCATATATCATTCATAGCCTGAATTATACAACATTGTATACCTAAAAACATGGCGAAAATGGATATTTTAGGGCTGTTGACAGTATTTTCTGATTTATGGAGTGATAAAAAGAGATATCCAATATCCCTTCTGTAAAAGCCTTAGATACTAATATGACTACAAAATGAAACAAGAATTTTGAATCTGGCTATATCCAAAGTTCAGATTTCAATTTCTGAAATGTGTTAAAATATGTGCATATTTAATGAGATAATGGATAATTTGCATATTTAAACATGCTATTTCAGAAACTTGTAATACAAAAGACAATTGCCTTATTGTAAGTAATTAACTGGAGAGATTTCTAGCTGATACCTTTAAGTTAAAAAAATTACCCTATTCACCTGGGGTGTCTCGCCTTAATAAGTTGTAAATATAACCAATGAGCAGTGAATATTTTGCCTGCATCATCATCCCTTCATGGCACATGGTCCACTATTGGTTCAAGGTGTTCCCCTTTATGATGTGCATTCATAAGAGAACATTACACAGATTTAGGCTAGGTTTAAACTAATAATAATATCTACTTTAAACGATAAGTGGCAGTGTAGTTTGTTGGAGGTTTACCTATAACCCTGCTGTAAGGAGTCACAGCAGGGCCTCAAACGGCCTCTCATCTCTCTAGCAGACACTATAGGAAAGATCAGAGCCACTGCAGGCTGAGCCTCGCTGGAAGGTCTGCACGCGAGCAACGTTTAAAGATAGGGACTGGGCTACGGTCATGTGTTGGCTTTACTTTGAAAACACTGACCTTAGTGTTCAGCTCATGCTGGAGCAGCAGAGGTCAGTCAGGAGGTCTGAGCAGGGCAGAGCCTGGCTTCATCTCTAGTTCTGTAAAAGAAACACCACAACAACATTTAACTACAGTACTGTGTATTTATGTTTAATATATAAACAAAACAGGTAATACAACTCGAATGAAGGGATGACAACAGCTAATGTAAGGTAGTTGTAAACAGATCATACTAGGGCTGCACGGTATTGAAAAAAACTGACATCGCGATTTTTCCCCCCCCTGCGGTATATATTGAGATTTTTTTTAACCTGTTAAGCCCCAAAGTCCCGGCGGGTACTTTACTTTTTTTCACGACACTGTGTCTCAGGGGATCGTAATATTTAAGAACCTATTAATGTGTTATACCAGATTAACGGAAATAATCTCAGCTAACTGACGATACAAACCATTTTATACCAAAACAAAACACAAGTCTCATAAGAAGCATCTAAATGACCCCTGAGCGAAAAATGCTAACGCACTTTGGCACAGAACTCAAGATAAAAGTACCCTTATTATTACTTATCATAGCTGCACTTACAAGATATTCGATTAAAGCTGAGGTTCCACAGATTATTTAGGTATATAGTATCATCACTGAGTGATCTGAACTCGGACAGGGGAAGCAAACACAGACATCACAACACGTACCTTTACGTAGCTTCTAGGGGAGATGTCTCACCGTAGCTGTCAATCTGATCAAAAGATGTGTTCAATGGCATTAAAACGAGAAAGAAAAAACGCGGCTGAATCGGTTAATCCATAGGTTTTTAACGTCTGTATAAAAAAATGATTTAATTTATAATCCATAATTCCATTTTTATGTAAATATCGCAGAGCAAAAGTTAGCTGCTAATGGTAGCCACCAGAGTGGCTGCTGCTTCCGGTCTTGGCAATCCAGAAGTCTCACACACACACACACACATTACCAAATAAGAACTGTGTGATTTCCCCTCGATTCCATTGGTTCCGACGGTCAGAAAGAGATGTCACATGTCAAAATCCAGCAAGGTGGGCCAGAGATATGGAAAATCCACCCAAATGGCCCCAAAAGAGGGTTTTTTTGTGCTAAATCTGTCTAAAAAGGTCAAATATCAGGGGAAGTTCTACACACACCAACACATGAACAAATAAGGAGTGAGAGTGACGACGCGTAGCCAAAACCGGAAGCTGCATACCACCAAGGTGGCTACCATTAGCAGCTAACTTTTGTGCTCCGATTTTTACATAAAAATGGAATTATGGATTATAAACAATTGCTTCAAAGCCACAGATACATTATCAACCTATGGATCAACCGTTTCAGCCGCGTTTTTTCTTTCTCGTTTTAATGCCATTGAACACGTCTTTTGATCAGATTGACAGCTACGGTGAGACGATCTCCCGTAAAAGGTACGTGTTGTGATGTCTGTGTTTGCTTCCCCTGTCGCGAGATCAGATCGCTTAGATACTATACTTAAATAATCTGTGGAGTCTCAGCTTTAATCGGATATATTGTATGTGCAGTTTCGATAAGTAATAAGGGTATCTTTATTTTGAATTCTGTGCTAAAGTGCGTCAGCATTTTTTTTTTAAATGAATAAAACCGCACGTCCCTGCGGTGTGAATACCGCGCATGCCGCGGTTATCGCCATGACACGGTATATAGTTCAGCCCTAGATCATACACACATCTGTAGATTGATTTGACAGAATAAAGCAGTATTTGCTGGTTGTCAAAAGGGCTGTAAAAATTGAATGTTTTTGTTATCAATTCATCTGCTGATTAATTTCTCGAAGGATAAATTGTTTGATCTATACAAATTCAGAAAATAGTCAAATGTCTCTCCTAATTTTTCCAAGTCCCAGTTGGTGTCCTTAAATGGCTTTTGTCAGTCTAAATGAAGAGGAAGTCACTTAACCTGTTAACCGCTAGAGCCAATAGAATCGAGGGGAAGTTCCACATACACGTTACCAAATAAGGAGTGAGAGTGACGAGTAGCCATAATACCCACAACAGGAAGCCGTCATACACTCTGGAAGCTACCATTAGCAGCTAATATGAAAATTCAATTTTTGACATAGAAATTGAATTATGGATTATCAATAATTTTTTCAAAGTGACAGACACATTGGATTAACCTTCAGCCGCGTTTTAATGCCATTGAACACAACGTATGATCAGAATAACAGCAAAAGGTGACTATATCTCCGTTTTTGCTACCTAAAGCTACGTCGTGTGTTGTCTGGGTTTGCTTCCCCTGTCGCGAGTTTTGATCGTTCAGTGACGATACTTATATGTATCGTATCTGTGGAATCTCAGCTTGCTAGCAAAGCTTGTTTGTGCAGATCCGATAAGTATATCAATCGATTTATACCTAGAACCTGCGGTCCTCAGACTCTGGCCTGCTTCCCACCCCCGCACCAAACTGCGAACCTTTGGGGACAGAGCCTTCAGTGTGGCAGCCCCCACCCTCTGGAACGCTCTCCCTGTGGAGATTCGCAAAAACCCCACACTCAACGCCTTCAAAAAGGGCCCTCAAGTCCCATCTGTTTGCCAAGGCTTTCGGCCCCTAATCTAACTGTTGTTTTGTCTGTCTGACTTTTGTTTTGTTATGTTTTTGCCCTATTACTTGTAAAGCGACCCCGGGTCCCTTGAAAGGCGCTATATAAATCCAAGCTATTATTATTAGAGTTCTGTGCCAAGTGAGTTAGCATTTTTTCACTCAGGACTCACTTAGACGCTTCTTGTGAGACTTGTGTTTTGTTTCGGTAAAAATTGTTTATATGGTCAGTTAGCTGAGTTTCTTCCCGTTAAGTGAGTATGACACATTCATAGTTTATTACATTTTAAGAAGCCCTGAGACACAGTTTTGTGAAAAAAAGCCCGTTAAGCAGCCTTCTGCTTGAAAAATTACTTTAATGATTAATTGAATATCCCAATAGTGAGCGATCATTTTTCCTTTTAAACGATTATTATTAAAGGTGGGGGAGGTAAGTTTGAGAAACCGACTCGAGATACACTTTTTGATATATTCCATGGAATGCTCTTAACATCCCGATAGCAATGAATATCTTAAGTGCTTTGACAAAATCCATTAAAAAAAAGGAAGTCTGAAGAAAGGGGCGGATTATTTTCGGCTGTGTACTTTCAAATTTTAGTGCACTCGAGCCGGTTTCTGAAACTTACCTACCCCACCTTTAAGCCATGGTTTTTACTTAACAGATGTGTCAAACGTAGGGGGGGGAAGCAAATTCAACATCATGATGTCCGACTTTAAAATGACGCACTATGTGTATTATTCATAAACCGATAAGCAGTGAAATGTACCGATATAATATTTAGCCTGGACCCTAATTCCTTCATGGCACACGGTCTACCATTTGTAGAAATAGTGTTCCTTTATGGTTCACCAACATTAGAAAACAATATACAGAATATGGGCAGGATGAAACTCCTTAGTAACAATAACTCACTTTTAAGAACAAATCCCTCTGTAGTTTGTTGGAGGTTTACCTATAACCCTGCTGTAAGGAGTCACAGCAGGGCCTCAAACGGCCTCTCATCTCTCTAGCAGACACTATAGGAAAGATCAGAGCCACTGCAGGCTGAGCCTCGCTGGAAGGTCTGCACGCGAGCAACGTTTAAAGATAGGGACTGGGCTACGGTCACGTGTTGGCTTTACTTTGAAAAACACTGACCTTAGTGTTCAGCTCATGCTGGAGCAGCAGAGGTCAGTCAGGAGGTCTGCGCAGGGCAGAGCCTGGCTTCATCTCTAGTTCTGTAAAAGAAAGTCATATTATAAGTACTGTATTTTTTATACAACATTTCCCTATAAGGTTACATCAAGCTTTATGTGCACTTACAGTCTTTGCCTACGTGAGCAAGTTCAAGCAGAACATGATAATCAAAAATGGTTCATTGGTCCCACCATGGGGAAACATACAGCCTACCAGAGGCAAAGGGACAGTGCAGATGAAGGCAAACATAAGTAAGTAACCTATTAAATGAATAGGCAAGCAGACATGCAATAAGAAATGATCCATGAACTAAAAAAACAAGTAGCAGCATGTATTTATCTGCACGTCACGATAAAGAATTTCTCGGCATAGTTTTATTTATTTTTGCCTTGCTAATTAATAAGTTGTAAATATAACCAATGAGCAGTGAATATTTTTGCCTGCATCATCATCCCTTCATGGCACATGGTCCACTATTGGTTCAAGGTGTTCCCCTTTATGATGTGCATTCATAAGATAACATTACACAGATTTAGGCTAGGTTTAAAGTAATAATAATATCTACTTTAAAACGATAATTGGCAGTGTAGTTTGTTGGAGGTTTACCTATAACCCTACTGTAAGGAGTCACAGCAGGGCCTCAAACGGCCTCTCATCTCTCTAGCAGACACTATAGGAAAGATCAGAGCCACTGCAGGCTGAGCCTCGCTGGAAGGTCTGCACGCGAGCAACGCAATACAGAAGTCTCTTTAAAATGTTTAAATGCTTGTCGTTTCCGGTCTGAACACCGCACTTCAATGGGTTCACATGGGCTGGTAGATAAATGACTGCCTCTTAAGTGTAAAACAAAAGTAAACTAAGCTTTACCTTCGCATATTTAAGTTGGACAGTCACCCACGCCTTCAGTCTGTGAACACAGAAAATAAAAACATGAAAAACGTGTTGTAAAAAGTAACATGAATGTGATGCAGTTAGCAAAAGCACATCGCTCGCGCTTAACTGACTTAAACAGTTTAAAAACAACATTCCTCAACAAAACCGACTTTCTATTACAGTTTAAAGATTCAAATTATATTTCAAGAAGTCAGAAACGTTACATACTTTGTAATTTAAGTAAGATGGAAGCAGATAGAATAAGCGTACCTTACTCAACCCAGGCATGCCGTGAAGTAGAATGAAACATACAGTGCCGGATGTGACGTCCTTACGTTTTGGCACGGGGTTTCCTTCTCCTTCTCCATACCATGGATGTATAATAAACTCCATACAAGGTGTATCCCAGCCAGCAGGGAGCAGTATAGTACCAAATATTGCGGTAGGGTGTTAAACATCCATGGTTTGAACCTGAAATAGTCTACATTTCTTTGACTTCATTAGGGACATTTTGTCTTTTTAAGATTTAGATCCATCATTTTTTCTGCCAAGAGTGTGAAGCAAATTTTGTAGGAACTCCGCCTATAAATAGGCGACAATAAACTGAAGCCAGAATACCTTTAAGGATAACGTTGTCTCCATTGAAACCCACACAAAACCCAATTGATTCCACGGCCATTAAAGCATGAAATCATGCATTTTATTATGACAGGCTTTCAGTCTAGAGCCCTTTCTTCAAATGAAACTCTTTTTTTAATTTCCACTAAATTAAGCAATTTTCTTATCTTAAAAAACATGTTAAAGCCTAAAGCAGAATTAAGCTTTGATGAGAAAGAGGAGAAAATAAAGGCCATACGAAACAGACCAATCAAAATAACAAAACAAGAAGATAACATGTGAAGTAATAAAATAAAAAACTAAGAAATCATGTGGGTTTATGATCAAATATATGTGACAATCCAACGAGTTGCATGCAATTTGGGGACCTTTATTTAACAAAAAAGGGCTACAAATGTAAGATTCTTTACAGTATATTAATACATTCTGTTGATTTATATGCAAACAATTCCAAAACAGTTTGACTCACTTCCTCTTGCTGATCATTTCACAATATTTCTCAATAGAAAACAAATGTGCACCTTTAGTTCAAAATAAGATGGAGAATGGAAGTTTCCTATGTTATGATTATGATGCCATGGCTTAAACATTTACCCATGACGACTGAAAACATTACAACCATTTTTTATGGAATTATCCCATTATAGAAGAATGAAACTCTTGACATTGTGTCTATAAAGTGATTTGAATAGGCTTGCCCAGTGCTCAGGCTGGGGGGGGCAGCTCAGGAGGATGCTCGTGGTCGATGACTCAGACTGCATTACCGTACAACAATAACCCTCATAGAGGATCAGGGTGTGCTGTGCCTGATCCATCAGCAGACGCCCGGATGAATTTCAGCTTTGTTAGCACGCATTGATGCTGACCACTCGCCCAGCTGACTGGCTCTGCATACTGATAAAGAAAACTCACAATCTGAATCTGTGTTTAGACACAAAGATGATGTGTTTCTGCCGCTCCTCTTGTTTCTGCATGACTGAGACTCTGAGCTTTTAAAGAAAGTGTGTGTATTTCATATAAACAAAAGTGGTGCCTTCAAAGAGTTGAGCTTTGTTGAAGTTAGAAATAAGAAAAGAGCACATTGTCTTGTACGCACTGGCTCCGACGTCTCCACCAAACAATATTATATTTATCACAGTTTGATCTCTATGAATAATCCTATTTCCACCATGTCTCTGGGATTAATTATAACAGAGTCTCTGCATGAGAAACAACAGATCAGGCCAAGCTTGAAATAATTGACCAGACTTAGATCCAGATCAGATAATCACATGTCAGCCTCTGGGTATGATCTTACAATAGCTCACTGACCAAAATGTTTATCCAAAAATGTCTTTACACTCATCTCAGTTGTTATTGTTAAGGCAGAGCGGTAGCTACTACGCAGGCCGGTTAGGTCATGTTCTCTGACTTATGAAGAGAATATGATGGGTCTTAGAGATCAAGACAAGGGGTTGGGGTTATATTAAAGCTGCACTAATCAATAGGGTTGTATGAATCCATTCAATGATCAACAAGTATGGATGCAAAGTATAAAAAAACTATGCAAATCATCATTTTCAATATACGCCCTTATTTTGAAGAAAGCCCTTATGTTAAGAGGAGATCTATTTTTATAGATTGTTATTTATTTAAATGTATTGAAGAACCCAGTAATGAAATAGTCATATGTACAGTATATACATTGCTTTTTGTGAGTATATGTAACGGATTGTGTAAAATAGGCTTATGATATTGTGTTATATCGCAGGCCGATACATCTATTTGAATCAAAATGGTATTACAGACTTTGTAATACAAGCAAATATTGTTTCTGATATAAAATGATATCATGATTAACACCATTACTAATCAATAGGTCTACATTATTCGTTATCATGTGGCTAGCGGCAGTGTGTTAGACTTGGAATGAAGCTAGTAACGACAACAGAGAGGTTAAACTGTTGAATCAATCTTGTGTGAGACGTCAGAGGATGACAGATGTCGCTCCACATCAACAAACCTGATCCGTATCCTGCCTGCAGGCATGCAGCCAGCAGACACACCGCTGCGTCCAATGTCGTCACCGCTCTCTGATTTATCAAGGTGACGCTCTGAGAGTCACCTGCAGCTGAGAGTCACCACAACAACTCCATCCTGAGAGCCTTCTCAACGTCAGTCATTGATCTTTAATCCATCTGTTAAGTGGGTTTATATCCTCCATGTGTCGAACTGCTGCACAATGAACCTGCAGTGTGGAACAAAAGGGCTCAGGAATCAGGAATCCTGTATGTTTGTCCCACAGCGGGGAAATGCTCCACGTTACACCAAAGGGGACAGAGCAGATACAAGGCAACAACATATGAGGACTAACTTTTAAAATAACGTGGCAACTTTATGTTAATGGATATATTATGCACATTGTCAGGTGTATATCAGTATGTAGTGTCTCTCCTGGGACATGTCTCATGCTTTAATGTTCAGAAAGCTCTTTATTGTTCTCATATGCCCTGCAGCACCTCTTTTCAACCTCTGTCTGAAACCAGAGCCCAGTCTGCTCTGATTGGTTAGCTGGCCGGCTCTGTTGTGATTGGTCAACCACTAAGAGATGTCCCGCCCCTTAGCCTATCATGTACAATGTGTTGTGTTAGCAATTAAAAGGGGGAGTGTTACATAAGAGGCGCTTTCACACTGCGGTACTTTTCCCACAAAGGTTCATGTGAACTTAGTTCATGTGAACTCTTTTATCGCGTTCACACCAAAAAGAGCCGGTACTAAAATTAGTTCATGTGAACCTTTTTACCCCCTCGAAAGTCCCTGCTAGAGAGCAGGGACTTTCGAGCGGCTCTTTTGTGAGAAAATAGCTATATTTCTGATTGGCTGGAAGGATTGCAAACCACGCCCCGCAAAACTCCCAAAAAGTTTTGTGAAGCCGCCATTTTATTATCCTCGCATTAGCATTAGCATTAGCCCAGCGCAGAAACGCAGAGAGACTAACTTATGGCAACACAAAATAAAACATGGGAGCGGTGGAGATGAGGAGGTGTCGGCGTTCTGGCGATTTACTCGGAAGGCTTCAGTAGAAGCTACTGGGAGTCCCAGCAGCTTCTACTTAAGCCAGTCCCTAACTCCGGGGACTTCCGGCCGGGGACTCCGGGTGGCAGTATACGCCGTGAAGTGGTTTGCGGCCTGCCAGTAAACCCAAAGCAGAAGAAGAACAAGTGACGTCAGCGGCTTCATTTGCCTAATCCTCCCTCAGGGACTTTTTCCAGTGTGAACGCGATCTGTACTTAGTTCATGCGAACTAAAGAGTTCACATGAACTAAGTTCACATGAACCTTTGTGGGAAAAGTACCGCAGGGTGAAAGCGCCAATTGAGATCACTACACACAAAGCTATACAACACACTACAGGAAAGGGTCAACCCAAAGCATAACAGGGCTTCCTATAATACATTCATTTAAATAAGTACATGAGGTGAAAAAAATAGTATCAGGATGATAAGGTCAATTAACATATAGAAGTCGAGGAAATAGCACTCAGTAGTAATAATAATAATAATAATAGTAGTAGATTACATTTATAGTGCCTTTTAAGAGACCCAAGGCCGCTGTACATGGTGAACAAACAAACAAACAAACAAAAGGGGCAAATAATAAAGTCAAACATTAATAGCAGTAATACTGTAACACTGTACGCTTTTATTTCAGAGCAGTGGTGTTACAGTCTTCAGTAGTGAAATCATGGTTTACAGGAAAAGTGAGCGTTATGATGTTTTTGACCAATTATCGCAGATATATTAAATGTACATCAAAAGAAACAGACAAAAGCATGAAATCCTCAAATTGAAAAAGCTCAAACCAGAAACATGTGACCTTTGTGATAAATCACCTGATCAAATCATATAACCATCAAATATACAGTACACTACATTTGAGTGTATTTTGTTTAGCTCATGTATTCATCTGGGGGTTTTAATCAATTCATGAGGCGGATATGTTCCGGTAACTGTTGAGTTTACTGTTCCCATAACCAATCAAAAACACATTAACATTGTCTACTGATGTAATGAAGTGTAAG